ATCCTTCTCGACCAAACTTCTCTACTAATCAGTTATCCCTGTCTCTACTATCACACAGAAATGAATTATCCCTTTTACGCTAAAAATTGTCCTAATCTGTATGCTGTTTTGAAGAAATTAGTGAACATGTTCCAGGACACCACATATACTGGCAAAGGTTATGTTTTGCAAAGGGGCATCTTATGCAGGGCAAGGCTATCCCAGAACAAGGCTGCATTCACTGAATACGAGATGCATTTTTCTAATTAATATGAATGTGCCATATGTTCAGCAAGCTTTTCTCATCTACCTGGAGCAGGCACCTATAATTCAAATTCACACGAGTTTCTGTGTGAACTGGGCCAGCACCATGCAAGTTTGCCTTCTTAGCTGGAATACGATTCCATTAAGTGGTGCAGGGATCGTTCTCTTTCTGTGTGTTTGCTCACCCTGCCAAGAAAATTGGCTTTATAGTGTGGTGAATTAAACTGTGTTAAGAGTAATGAACAGGATATTATTATAAAACGAAATTATTGAAATCCAGCTTGAAGGTGGATAACTTCAAAATTTGCTATAGTCATTCTCCATAATCTGTACCTTCCTTCAAGAATGAGATGGTCCATAAAAATAATATCTATTTAGGAAAATAGGAATGACTGTTCCCTTATCTGCTATGTTTCATTTGAGGTGATATCCCCTGGAGCTAAAATGTTGGTAAACCAGACATGTGGAATCTTTACAGACTAAATGTACCATTGATAAGGAACCCAGAAGGGACCCCCCAAGAATAAATAACTACCAATCAGGTGTGAATTTCTCATTTTCAGATTTTCTTCTCATGTTTTCCTTGAAAAAGACTGTGATGCTTATTGTAGGACGAGGCTTTTACAGTTAATAGGTGGAAGGAGAGTGGCTGAAGTGGGAAAAGGCCTTTCAGTGTGGAGGGGGCTGACTTTGTGAGTATTTGTTATATTGACTGAGACGTCAAGGTTCATGTAACCTGCCTCCATATTGCTAGCGGCCATTATGAGGTAAATAAATGTTTCAAAGTATTTATAGGCCAGATGGGATTTCATCTTCTCTGTATTTTTTCCAGGAACTCAGGGGTGTGGCCCTGTAGGGAGAAGTGTAGTTACCCCCTCCCCCAAAAAGCAGTTGTGACAAATCGAATTAAAAAAAGTCAAAGAGCAAATGAAATGTGCCTTGACATTAAAAATCATGGAAAATAAAAAGAAACCATCCTCAAATAATACTTAGTCCCTCAAGCTATAAAGTTATCTTTCTTAAAACTCAAGTTAGTTTGCCTAAATATAAAATTGCATAAATATTTCAGCACAATATAATTTAATGTTTTACCTTCACATTCAATAAACAAGCAAAAATCAGTATTGTTAAATTCTGCACATTATTTATAATAAAGTTACACCTTTGTTGTAGAATATTTAAAAATGTACATAACAGAGACTGCCAGCTTAATCTCTGCATTAACAGACACAGGAAGACACAAAAGACTGAGGAGAATAAAATGATCCATAGTGCAAAGAGTCAGACAAGTGGCCCCACTTATTTATGCAAATATTTGGGAGATGGCCAGAGTGGCATTCAATATATTTAACAACCAATATGGAGTAGCCTTAGGTTAATTGTTCTAGACCAGGGGTCCCCAACCTATGGTGAGTTGTATAATTGTTTCATTGTATATTACAATGTAATTAATAATAATAGAAATAAAGTACACAATAAATATAATGAGCTTGAATCATCCTAAAACCATCCACTCCGCTCCAACTCTGATGCGTGGAAAAATTGTCTTCCATGAAAACGGTCCCTGGTGCCAAAAAGGTTGGGGACTGCTGGTTCTAGACCATAAACCAGCAAGATCTTGCAGGGTCCTCTTTGTGGGAGTGGGCACCTTCAGCTTGACTTGGCAAGGCTGAACCTCACTTTGTTATGTGGAGCTCTGGTGTGGGGCTGGACCAATTTTCTTAAGCAGCACAGAGATGTTGACTTCCATCCCTGCTTCCTCAACTCAGCAATACCTGCACTTTGGTCTCAATTTGTTGTGACTAAGGTATGTACACAGATGATAGGCCCGGAAGATAAATCTACCAGGGGGAAAGGAGGCTCTGGGTTGAATCAATAAAAAAGCTCAAGGGTTAGTGGACAAGGGCTGGTGATGCCACAGCAAGTGACTGCAACTGGGACTCACTCTTAACTCAGCCCCCAGGTCAAGGATCCCTGCTTGATGCCCCTGCTTCCCACATATAGATCAGCTAAACGATGCTGGGTGATTACACAGAGCAGATGTTCACGTGCTGGGCACCACAGTGAAGACAGAGCCCCAGGGTTGTATCAATGCATTCTTGTGTGCTTTGCAGTGTTTCTGTGCTTTGTAAAGGGATCCGTAAACTCTTCCTCCCAAAAGGTCCAATTCCTCAGGGAGCGGGCCCTCATTCTGCTTGGGGTTCCTCCATTTAATCTGCCCTGTTCCATATTACCGCAGAAATTTCTTTAAATTTCTGGAATTTGATAGCATCAGTTTTGGGGGCTTTCATAGGTTTTCCCCTAAGCTAAGAATTTCTATGAATATTATTGGAAGACTTGTAAAACTGTTTCTTACTTTCAAACAGTTGTTACATAAATCTTTTGATTTTGTATTTGAAAGTTCAAATCAAACAGCCACAGTGAAAGAAATGGCCTTTCCTTTGATAGCACTGTTAGTAGAAAAGTTTTTATTTTATACTTGGAAAGCTATCAAATAGAGGCCTAATTACTTTACAGTTTTAAACAGGTGGTTCTTAATGGCAAAGCAGTTATCCTACATTTAATAAGAACAGGCGATAACTAGGTGGGCTTGGATGTTTGATCATCTATTTAAGCGTCTAATTGTATTTTTCAATTTGATCGGTAATATAATTGAATGTGTAAATTAATAGATGTGTTTCCTCACATAAGTAATTGTAATCTAATGCAGTCCTTTAGGTTGAGGGTATTATTTCTCAATTGACAGTGATATATTTCAAGATTGTTGTTTTTTCCTAATGTTTTCTCTGACAAGGACAAAATATGTGTAATCAAAAGTCATGTTGTAATAAATTGAGATGTCAAGTTAAGTATAATTATATTTTGACTAATTATATTAAATTTATTTAAGCAAACATTAATATTCCAATAGACTAATTGAAACAATAAAATCAACCTTGTTACTGTGCTATTGAGAATTAACTCTAGTATTTTCTAAGGTTATATTATAAATTAATACAAAAAAGGGATTATGAAGCATTTGCTCAAACTACTGGTCAAGCCGGGCAAGGTGGCTCACACCTGTAATCTTAGCAATTTGTGGGGCCAAGGCAGGAGGATCACTTGAAGCCAGGAGTTCAAGACCAGCCTGAGCAAGAGTGAGACCCCGTCTCTACTAAAAACAGAGAAATTAGCCGGGTGTGGTGACGCATACCTGTAGTCCCAGCTACTTGGGAGGCTGAGGCAGGAGGATCACTGGAGCTCAGGAGTTTGAGGTTACAGTGAGCTATGATGATGCCATTGCACTCTAGCCCATGAGACAGAGCAAGACCCTGTCTCAAAAAACAAAACTGCTCGTCACATCATAGTTACTATTTTTCACAAATTTTATGTAGAAAGGAATTTAGTTAAATCCTGAGCTCCTTTAAAGGAGATAAAAAACAAGATTTAGCATTACTATATATAAAAAGGCTTTTATTTCCTCCTAAGTGATAATTATAAGTATAAAATTAAACTATATTTTACATATGTAATAGTCTATACTATTTTTAACACATAAATGATTCTATAGACACCAGGTAAAGGCAGTATCTCTTTCTAATTACCGTTAATTCATTGCATATTTACTCAATTTAGTGTACACATAACTGATACATTCAGGGCTATATCCTGGGAATTGTAAATTCCCTCCTCATGGCAGTGTCTTTCTGGAAGGGGTAATGCTTCAAAACCTTCTCTTTGTAGTCAGTTTCTCTCTCTCTCTCTCTTTCTCTCTCTCTCTCTCTCTCTCTTCATTATTTGTCTCCCTTTCTTCCCCCATGTCTCTTCCTTGATGGTTTTGAAGATGCAAGCTGCATGGACCCCATAGCCACAAGGATATAAATTCTTCCAACGACAACTTGAAGGAGTTTGGAAGCACATTCTTCCTCAGTTGAGTCTCTGAGGAGAACCCAGTTCTGGCTGATTCCTTAAACAAATGCTTGATAGACCCTAAGCAGAGAACTATCTAGATCATGCCTAGACCTCCGACACACAAAAATTATTATATGAGATGATAAACATGTGTTATGTTAAGCCATTCTAATATGGTTTGGATGTTTGTACCCTCCCAAATCTCATGTTGAAATTTCATCCCCATTGTTGAATGTGGTCCTGCTGGGAGGTGTTTGGGTCATGGGGGTGGATCCCTCATGAATAGCTTGGTGCCCTCCTCACGATAATGAGTCAGATCATTAGTTCACAAGAGCTGGTTGTTTACGAGTCTGGCACCACCTCCTCTCTCTTTTGCTCCTTCTCTTGCCATGTGACATGCCTGCTCCTCCTTCACCTTCCACTTTGATTGGAAGCCCTCATCATAAGCAGATGCTGGTGCCATGGTTCTCATACAGTCTGCAGAATTGTTAGCCAAATAAACTTTTCTTTATAGATTACCCAGCCTCAGGCATTTCTTTATAGCAGTGCAGGATGGACTAATACATACTCAGTGTGTGGTAATTTGTTACACAGCTATAGATAACTAACACAAATAGAGCCAGAGCAAGGTTAAATTTGTCTACACTCTGCTCCTCTGGGACTTCCCTATATTCAGCCATTATAAAATTTACCCACAACTCGTGTAACTCTGGATATTCTAGAGAATAAGATCTTTGCTTAGTAACTTGATGGCTGAAATTATCTATATTTCTAGAGGCTCCAGCTGCCTTCAAGTCACCTGGTACTCATTACTCCATTAAAGTGGCAACCCATGATGAACAAACAAACCATAATTCTGTTCTTACATTTTTGTTGGTAAAGATGATGGCACAGTAGCGCACGTGGATGTTAAAGGGAAGAAAGAATAGCTCCAGGTTTGAAGTTTCTTTCACGTCCAGGTAAACAGTAGGCATGGAGCAGAAGAACTCTTTGATGAAATCGGACTTAATTGCTAGCAAAACATGACACAGAGCTTATTAACATATAATTTTATAAGTGCTGTTCAAATAAAGCAGTTGTCTCAATTAATTATTAAAGTTTTGGGATCAATATAAAATGTTCAAATCATTAGCATTCAAGATTAGAAGATGATACATACGTATGTTAATGAGAGTACAGTGATCCCAGCTCAAGCTTGATATAACAAAATGCATCATTAAAGATTTCTTAATAAATAATTTCATTACAAATGGAATTTCACTACTGTTTAAAATTAACCTTGATATATGTAGCAAAGTGATCTTCCAAAAATCTTCAAATTGTTGTGGACTATGTAATGTTTCGCAAGGTATAATGAATAATTTCAACTGGAAATAAAGGACTGATTATCTATATATATAAATATATAAATATATAGATATTTTGTAGTTTTAAAACATTCCCACAAATTCTTTGATAATGCCTTAAATGTGGTGACATGGTGCTTGTTAGATCCTAACAAATAGTACACTAGAATGCAGCAGAAGTGAAACAGTGTGATTTCTGACACTAGATCAGAAACTGTAATGTAACTTCTGCCAGTTAGCTCTCTTTCTTGGCTCACTCTTCTTTAGAACTTACTGCAACCCCAGAAGCTTGAGCCACACAGAGAGGCCACGGGTAATTGTCTAGGCCAACAGCCCCAGCTGAAGTCCCAGGCAAAAGGCAGCATTAACCATCAGACATGTGAGTGAGGAAGCCTCGAGATAACTCAAGCCCCAGCTTCCATCTAACCCCTGAGCTAGAGTCACCCAGCTGAGCCCAGTCACCCCAGAAGTATGAGAGATAATCATCATTATTGATTTTTGTTGTTTTATGCCAGTACATTTGGGGTGGTTTGTTCTGCAGCTATGGATAAGCAGAACATTCCTATCTGTTTTCCTATCCATCATTCTACTCATCTTTCTTGACCTGTAGCTATTTAATACAACAAAGCAAATCTGTCATCTCCTTGTAATTCTAAACTTGGTGGTATCTGTCCCCTAAATATGTTTAAACAGTTTAGAATAAGCCAACAGAGACATAAAGGCCATATATCTAAATAAATGTTTTGTACTTTGGAGAGAACTAGACTCAGAAGTGACATGAGAGATGCAGGAAGAGTCCTCCAAAGGGTTGTCAACAGAAAAGGTAGAGGACCCACAATTCAGTCTCTCATCCAGCCAGTAATCCCCAGGGCTTGTCATTCTATCATGGTAACCACCCTCTGTTGAATATTTCATTTCAGTTTATGCCTTGCACATGAAAGTCAGACATTAAAACAAATAAGAACTTCTATTTAGATACTCACAGGTTCTTAAGGCCTCTGGGGCATGGGAACAGCCCTGAAGACTATCACATCCGCTGCTACGCACACTATCACTGTCAAAAGAAAATAGGAAAATAACATCAACAAGACAAATAAAACCCAAAAATAATTTCTTAGTTAAGCCTTATAGAGCCTCAAAAGTTATGGCTAACTACAATACAATATGAAAAAACCACAGATATTTTTCAAATATCATTTGATGTTCATATTGTTTGATAAATTAAAAAAATAGAAAGATCCAAAAAGGAAACTAACAAACATCCATATTTCCACTACTCTTTTTTTTTTAATTTGGTAAAAATAATTGCTTTTTACTTTCAAATACATTACTGTAGAGAAGAGGAAATTTGATAATAATAACAAGAAAAACCCTAATCCAGACACTCAAATTGTACATGGTCTCAATTTAGGATAAAACCCTAATCCAGAGCCTCAAATAGTAGGTGGTCTCAATTAAGACTAAACAGGTACTATCTCTAGAAGTGGTTATAGAATTTTCTTTCTTCAAAAAATTCCTTTCTCTGTGTTTATTGTTTCCACATTTGCTTCTTTCTTATAAAGGTGGAAAGAAATTTGGGCATTTGTTTAATCTCTGGTTGTGTTTCTGAAAATGAATTAGCAGATCACAGCCTGAAACAACTGCTTCCCTTGAAAGGTTCCAAGTCCTCCAGAACCCATCGATTTTCCCCATATTGCTCTTTTTTTGGTATTCATGATTATTTTGCTCAACACGTTGTCAATTAATATTTGGGTCATAGGTATTGATTGCCTGATTTTCGGTCTGAGAATACAAAACCCCATATTTTCTCACCTTGCCATCTACATTTACCTGACTTTGATGCTCCAAAAATATATTGACTATTTCCAAGTAAAGTTATTCTAAACATATCAATTCCTTTTCTCCATTTGATTTTTATGAATAACACCGTCTTTTCTTTACACCACATTCTTAATGAGGTTATTTACCACTTCTTATAATTATACTATGCTTTATACCTGTGAGTATAGGTATTCTGCTTAGCAGTGTAAATAATATATTTGTTAAAAAAGTAAAGAACATTTAATATTTTATGTAATTTGAGCATTTGATAGATAATTTAAGGCTCCCATAGACACAATAGATGGATATTTTAGCATATAAGGGAAACTATACAGAGTGGACAGAATAACAAAGAATGCTTATTATTTCTCTGTATACAGTTCCATTGCCATCTCTTCAATATTAAGAGTTCTGGGTGGAACACCTGATTAAAATCCACAGATAATCTCCAAATCTCATTTTGTTCAATACTTGCAATTGTTAGTCCTTCAATCATTTTTTATTATAATGAGTAGAAAAGCAGGCCAATTTGGGCTTCAAATCTTTTTTTTTCTTTTCTTTACCTATTTTGTTGGAAACAAGTAATGAAAGTGACTTTTGAAGAAATCAGAGTTGCCTCATCCCAAAAGAGACTCTCAAATCCAGAAAAATTGAGTTACTTACACTGTTTATGTTAAAGACTGATAGAAAACTTTGCAGACCTAGGAATTTGTATTGATTTGTTTATAAATCCAATGGTCATCATGATTACTAAAGATATCAGAAAATAATTGGATAAGATAATTTGGTTTGGGAAAATTCTATTTTACCTAATATTTCTGAGTCTAGAAAGTCAGCGATAAACCCAATTTTTTTTAACAAAACCAGTATCTTTGATGTCCCAAAGACATAATAGAAAATAACTTAACTCATTTACCTTTTTGTCACTCCCTGCACTTCAGTCTATGCTACCATTTTCCTAAATGCTCATAGATTATTACTGAAGTGATAGAAGAGGGAGCATGTTTAAAACCTTGGTCTTTGGGAAGAAAAGCATCAAAAAAGGGCTAAAATTATATGGAATACTGTAGATCAAGGAATGAAATGTTTCCTGCTGACCTAGTAGTGGGCTAGAGTCACGGAGTGGAACCTACTTTTGATGTGTGAAGGGGTAACATTTCTTTCATCTACAGTAGTCACCTGCAGCTCTTTTCAAGCTAAAATGATAAAATGACATTGGATTGGTTCTCTTCAGGGCATGAATAAATCAGCCCTAAAAGTGACTTCCTACTCAAGCCTATACCAAAAGGTTTAGGAAGATCTTTATCAGAAATTTTCATAAAGTTACTCCAGAGCAGGCATTCAGGACTATATTTAAACCAAACAGCACAATATCTGGTTCAAGTCTAGTTTTTATGCATCATGGGAAGGAATATGAAAGAATCAAGTTTTAGATTCATTCTGTAACTGGCCTCCCATTGAACAAATTTCAGAGAACCCCATATAATCCTCTCCATTAACTAACTCCTTGACCTTTCCAGTTGTTACAAGAAATGGTGGATTGTCTGCAAGACAAAGGAGCTGTGATTTTGAAGGCCCCAGGGCAGACTTCCTGACTCCAAAATTCACTATCCCCCACAACCTGTCCCCAGTGTCTGTAGCCCCTGGTGAGATACCCCATGAGCTGCCTGAAGGGAGGTGGAGCCTCCTTTAAAAGCCGATGATCTCTGTTAGCAGGAGACACGATTTGGGGCAGCTTCTCCCGTTCACTGGACAAGAAGTCTGTCATATTGAAAATTCCTTTCTTCCTTGGCAATCCTCATTGTCTAAATAATTGGGATCTTTGTGCAACGAGCAAGTGGACCTAGGCTAAAATTCTCTTGCGGTTTTGACAACAATTTTATCTTCCATATGTCCAGGAGTTCCTCTATAACGGGCCGTGTGGCCATCTAGAGGGCAGTAAAAATGGGATACTTGCTACTTTTTGTGCCAGTTTGTCCCCTGGGAAGTTGAGAACTGTCTAAAGCAAGGGGCCATAACCTGAGGTTCTAAGGACAGAGTGGATCTACAAATTTGAATGGGGAAAATATTCCATCTTGACTTCCACTCACTTTTAACAGCAATTTAAATCAAACCATAAGAGGATCAACTGTACCTATGCCTTGGTCACCAAAATCACAGGTTTATATCGAATTTCAGTTGTTGCACGTATCTTGAGATATCGTGTTCATCACTACTTTTAAAGTACGGTAGCTGTTAGCTCCACCATTAGATCTTATGCATAGTGTTAATAAAGAAGTGCATATTTTATTATGTTACATTACATTTTTGAAATATTTTGATAATCTATTATTAGTTTCCTCTGTGCCATAGACTGAATTATGTCACATTCAAATTTATATATGGAAGTCCTAACCCCTAATGTGATTGTATTTGGAAATAAGGAACATAAGGAGATAACTAAGTTTAAATGAGGTCATAAGGGTGGGGCCATGATCTGATAGGATTAGTCTCAGTATAAGAAGAGATACAGAAGAGCTTTCTCTCCCTCTTCCCCAACACTTGCATGAAGAAGAGATCATGTGAGCCCACAAAGAAATGGCAGGCAACTACAAACCAAGAGAAGAGCCCTCAGAATGAAACTTGCCTTGTGGCCTTTTGATCTTGGACTTCCCAGACTCCAAAACTGTGAGAAATAAATTTCTGTTGTTTAAGCCACCCAGTCTATGGCATTTCATTACGGCAGCCTGAGCAGACTAAGACATTCTTAATCTTTGCATCTTATTTTATGTGTTTAGGAAATACTATGCTTTGAAGTGCAATAGCCTTGAAGAGATTGCCAAAAAGCCTGATAGCACTTTTTAAAGTTAAGAAACTCTACTCTAGAACAAGAGGATCACGGTAGATTACTACTCTTATTATACCTGGCCTTCTATTCACTCTGCTTTCCTTAGAGACTTACTGCTATAGACTGAATGTCTGTGACTCCCCACCACCGGCACCCTTGCAAATTCATTTGTTGAAACCTAATCCCCAATGTGATGGTATTAGGAGATGATGTCTTTGTGAAGTGATTAAATCATGAGAGTATAGCCCTCGTGACTGGGGTTAGTGTCCTTATAAGAGAGACCCCAGAGAGTTCTATCACCCCTTTCTTCCATGTGAGGAAACAGCAAGGAGAATGACCTCTAGGAACCAGGAAGAGGACCCTCACCAAATACCAAATCTGCCAGTGCCTTGATCTTGGACTCCTCAGCCTCTAGAATTGTGAACAATAAATGTTTGTTGTTTAAGCCACTCAGTATATGGTATTTTTGTTACAGCAGCCATAACAGACTAAGACATGTACCTAATTCTAACTGTTCCTAATTATTTAGTATAGTAGCAGGAAGTATTTTTAAATCATGTCTCTCCAGAATCCAGATTTTGTTGGGGTTTTAGCAAGAGTCAGGATCCAGAAAATTATCTCTATCACGGCTTTCTTTCATTTTGTGACTGGCTTTAAGAACAAATTTCAATAACCCCTATGTGTTTTTTTTGAAATCCTCTCCCATCTTTTAGATTCTCAGGCCGGTTAGGGCATGATGACCAGAACCCTGAATCTTTTAATTAATTACTTGAACTTTCTGAGTTGTTTCCCAGAAATGGCAGAATTTCTGGAAGTCAAGGAGCTGAGATTCTGAAGCCTCCTTGGTAGACTTACTGATATCAAAACTTGCCACCCCCTACAACCTGCCCCAATGCACACAGCCCCTCTTAAAAAGCCTGTACTCTCCATTAGTCAGGGAGATGCATTTGAGGCTGATTCTGATTCCCTGTTCTCCTGACAGATGTGCTTCATATTAAAAATTACTTTCTTCCTTGGCAATCCTTGTTATCTCAATAATTGGCTCTTTGTGTGGCAAGCAACTAGACCTAGGCTGAAACTCCCTTGTAGTTTCAATAACAATTTCAGTGGCTATTCTGAGCCAAGCTATTCTGGGATACAGGGATGAATGATGAAGCCCCTAAACTCATGGAGCATACAGTCTGCAATGAAATGTAGGTTTCTGAGACATAATTACAAAGTGGAATGATAAATGCTTTATCACCTTTTCAACCTTAATTCATATGCTCCTATGCATACCCCTACCCATTGCTTCTGGAATTCCCTCTTTGAATGTTCCTATGCTCATAGGAAAGTTCTACTTCT